CTGAAAGAATGGTCCGAGGGGGAGAGAAAGGTACACTTTGGCCTCCGCGCACACCTGTTTCAAGTGACGCTCGGCTCATCCTTTCAGCTCTTTTCAGGCTCGATTAATTCCGAGGTGCGTCGGCGTCAATCAAGCGACTATCTATCGCCGCTTGCGACGCAGCCCGGCGAAAGGCCGAAGCTATCTCATTCGGGCTCTGGAATGCCAAGTCCTCTCAGAGAGAGATTCGGTGGTCTGACGAGGAAGAGGGATGGGGCAGGTGCGGCGTTTATTCCTCTCTAGGTCCACAACAGGAAACATATCCACTACCATCGTAGACCAGCCGGCTTTGACTGCACCTCGAAAGCACTCCTTGTCCTCCACCCAAGGTTCACTTGGCGTTCTGCGCGAGGCCGGTCTGCCATCTGCGCGTACACGAGGTTCGCTTACACCTGGTTTTGATGGTATCCTGAACTCAGGGGAGACTTGGACATCGAGGAGACGAGCGTCAGAGAGCGGCACAAAGTTGAATTCCAATACCCCTCTCCGGGGCGATGGTGATGGTGAACTGCAGCCCGCCAGTAGGCTAAAGATCGATGAAGAGGAGGAGAAGAACCGTTGTCACTCAGGGACAACTCCCGATCCAACTGAACAAGATGCATCTTCTCAGAGTTTGGGCCACTCACCGAGCGATTCTCCTCCAGGAGCTGAACCATCTATCGACAATGATGTCACCACAACTTCTGCTTCTGTGAATGGCAGCGAAGGCCCCACAATTCACAACGCTACGCAGTCCGTCTCAGCAGATGCACCTGGTCGGTCGTCGGCAAGTCCTGCTACCGTGCCCACTGCTCTGCAACCTGTCACGAATCCTGTTGGTGTTGAATGGTCGTATCTTGACCCTCAAGGCCAGGTGCAAGGTACGCAAGCATCTCCATTGCCTGGTGCCCATTCAATTTCGTCCCTCCAGGCCCATTCCAGGCCGAACTTATGCAGAAGTGGTATGAGGAGGGCTATTTTGCTCTAGACCTTTTAATGCGGCGTCTTAACCTCGACGAAGACTGGACTCCCGTCGGCGAGTTGGCTCAGCGAGCTGGGAGCGAAAAGATCTTTCTCTTCAACTTTGATGCCCTTGCAGTCCCTCCGGGACTCTCGCGTCATCGTGACCCTCCTCGAGATCCTCTTCGACGACAGCAAGAGACGAATGGGTACAACGCCCCGTATCAGCCAGTGCCTACTCGATCGATCGATCCTTCCGCCTTGAATGCTTACTTTACTTCCTCATCTCCTGTCTCCAACTCTCCTTCGTCATCGTTTGGTGCGGGCCGATTCGGGAACAACTCCCCAGTTCCAACTGCATTTGGGCTCGTTGGTGCCCCTATACCTTCAACCGATTCACCTATTGGCCCGCGTCCCGGAAGCTTTGTCGACCCAGCATTCATTGGTGCTCGACGAACGTACACCGACACTCAGTTTGAACAAGGTTTTGGTGGTATTCGTGGTGGCCTTGGTAACCCTGGGTCGGTTAGAGCGTCATCCGTTGACAGCTATGGTTTGAATTCGTCAATGTCTTGCCAACCTCCCTGGGGCCCATCGAATCCTGTCCACCCCGCGTCGCTGAGCATCCGCACCAACTCGTACGACCATATAGGCCCGACACCATTCGCACCTCATCCTGGTTCGGGCTTGGATCCCGCGTACTCTGGGGAACCTCCTCTTACTAGAGTCCTACCGGCGCAGCAAGATGTCCTTGGACAAACCTTTGTTAACGTCAATCAGCGTGATCTTTCCCGCCTGGGCTCCAGAGACTTGTATCAGCTTGAGCATCGCGCGGGTTTAGGCTTGGGAGGGTTCGATGGGACACCAAGTGCCTCACCGTTCGACTCGCCTGCCCAACATCAACCATTTAGTCACTCGCCCGCAGTGAACTTCTCTTCACCTGCATCTCAGCAAGCTACTTCGTCTGTGATGGCCTCTACCACTACCATTCCTTCCTCAATCTCGACTCTGCCGTTGTCCCAGCCTGCATGGGCCGACGCGACTGAGCCTGCGCCTAAGCGCACTGGCTTGTCACCCTTTGACAATTCAGTTTTTCCCACGTCGCGGAATACGACTGCGACGCGCACTGCTCCACCACCACCCACACAATCGTGGGTTCCCATCAAACAACCCAGTCCAAGTGACTCATCACAATCCCCATGGTTTAGTGCCTCTCAGGCAATCATCGACGATGGTTGGGGTCACATTCCTGGCCCCCATAGCTTAACCGTCAGTAATCTTACTCAGCACACGCAGCAACAGGAAACTGGCGAAGGATTTTCCGGGGATAATATTGTCGCGTTAGACAGCCCTATTGAGCCCGCCCCCCTGCAGGAAGCTGTACAACCATCTGTTCAGAATCCCTCCTTCGCCAGTCCGTCGGAGTCTCCACAACAGCCCACGAGGTCTGGCCGCAAGTTCTCCGTCCAGACAAGTCCAGCACAACCACCTGCCTCTGCTCCATTAAGTCCTTCCGTTGCTCAGCCCATGAAAGAACCCACGACATCAACTTCCTCAGTCTCCGTACCTACAAAGCCTGTTTGGTCGACGGAAGACGATAAGAAGAAGAGTAGTGCTGGCGCGTCAATGAGTCTGAGGGAGATCCAAGAAATAGAGACCAAGAAACAGGAGGCACGAAAAGCTGCTGAGCGGGAGCGTGTGCGTGCTACGGCAACTGTCGCGGCCTCACCTTCCGAAGATTCCCAGCTGTTCACTGCGTCCTGGGGCCTTCCGACTTCGCAAGTCAGCGCGAAGACGTCGGCCAAAGATGTAGCTGGAGTCATCGTACCATCTGCGTCCGCTTCTACCTCCGCGGCTGTCACTAATTCGCCTCCAACGCCCGCTTCATCAGCACCACCTACTGCCGTCTGGACGAACACCCAAAAGCCCGCTACTAAGAAGTCTATGAGGGACATCCTGGAGGAAGAAGAAAAACGAAAGAAAGCAGGTTCTAAAGAATCTATGGCGGCAGCAGCAGCACGTCGCGCATATGCCGAAACCACTAACAAGGTAAGGGATTTGTAATTTTGATAGATTGCCCTGATCGAATGCTTCATTACTTGCAGGCTACTGTTCCATCTGCTGGTGGCGCATGGACCACGATAGGCGCCAACGGAAAGGCAACCGCGGCCGCGGTCGCTGCGTCTCCTGCCGGACGTCAGACAATAACCTCGTCATCTTCTGTCGGGTCAGTAGTGTCCTCCCCCTCGAGAGGGGCCACCGCCACTTCCTCCGCACGCTCCCCTGCACCACCAACGAAAGTAAACCCTGTTACCCCCAAGGTTGATGACGCACCCATTGCGCCGTCACCCGACTTCATGAAGTGGTTAAACGATTCACTCAAACAGCTCAATAGCAGTGTTAATTGTTTGTTTCCTTCACTACTTCGAGGCTCAGGACTTGCTAATCGCAATCCCGGCATTCAGATGAAGAAATTGCATCCATGTTGTTATCATTCCCTCTAGACGGCGATGCTACGACTGTGGAGATCATCTCAGAGCTGATTTACGACAACAGCACAACGCTCGATGGCAGGCGCTTCGCTCAGGACTTCATCGCCAGACGACGGGCGGACGCGGCGTCTAGAAAACCATCAAGCCGTGCGCCATCAATCGCTGATGTTGTCAAGGCGCAGCCCAAGCCTTCACAACAGGCAGAGTGGGGTGGGTTCAAGGTTGTGAAGCAGAAAAAGAAGGGCGGGCGTTCATAGAAGGTTCAACCTTTCGATGGGCGATGATGGCAGTATCCAGGGAGATGTAATACCCCCATAATGGACTTTGTCACTTTTCTACTCGTTCGCCGAACGGATCCGGTGTGCCCAATGTATAAATTACCTGCACTGCTCAGCGATCGAGTCACTTTCTGTCCTTGAAGGCGTGCAAGGCGGCGCTGGCGCTTGAGCGCCGGACAGTGCGGGCGCACGGCTGCTAAACTAGCAGTGCAAAGAGCGGATCAAATGCAGCCAGGAAACTTTCTCCCGCGGGCGTGTGAACGATGAGCTGGCACTTCCTTGGCAACACCCTAATATATCCATCGGTCAGATGTAAAATAATAATAATCTGCTGCGCATCCACATGGTAGACCTGCAGGTTGTTTCAGTTTTGGAAAGTCGCTGTCATGAGGGCCTGTCACAGGTCACGGTTGGTGGTAACGGATCACTTTGAATTTCTCATCTAATTCCTGCTCAGTCTTCACAAAACTTGACATATGGCATCCAGTATCACATACACGCATATTCCTCATGTTTGTTTGGGTAGAAATTGTGTTATATAGTGTGTGATCCGCTACTACCCAACCACGGTTAGTACTGGGTGCGTAAAAAAAGGTGCACAGGAACACCGGATTCAAACGAACGTAATGAGTTAGCGCGCACTGCACGCAGTGGGCGGGCTCTCTAAAGCGGCGGATATAGGACCAAGCTAAGTGTTATCATATTTATTACAGGTCATCAACAGCACATTGCTGTACTGGTGGAGTACTGGTGGAGCACGGAAGACCATTGTTCCCTATGGAACCGGCTCTTTTTACTGCGTGCGCTGTAACCAGTTGCGTCCAAACCCGTACCTGGGCCTGACCTCCTATAAACGGTTTGATGTAGATCTGGAGAAGGACAGCTCCCAGACTCGGGGAAAGAAAAAAGAGCTCCCGGAGCCTGCGCCTCCTGGCCGGCTCGCTTCGTTGGACAGTTGGACGGACAGGGCGAGTAATGCGGCAATTGAATGGCATGAATGGATGCATGAGTCCATATTTGAACGTACGAAATGCGCCCAACTAGTAAGACGCCTACAAGCCGACCGTGTGAGAAAACGAATTAATTCCGTGTTCAAAAGCTGGTAAACCGAAAAGAAGAATCCACAAAGGGGGAAGATACAACTTGCGGATGAACTCTGCGGTTGGAATGGTCACTTATACAGGGTGAGCACCCGCGGCGATGAAGCTAGTGAGGGGAAACATCACTGAATTACGTGTTGAGGAAAAATTCTAGCCCACCGCGAGGGTCGAACTCGCAGCCTTCAGATTACACACATTGTGCGAACTCCACGCCTATTGTAAGAGTCTGACGCTCTATCCGATTGAGCTAGGCGGGCGTTATTCCAGCTGTCATGAAACATATATAACTTAAAGTCTCCCAATCTGATTTCCCGATGTCTGTGGGTCGTGACAAGACTGTGACATTGGTTGACAGGAGTTTATTAATAATAAAAAATGGTTTAGGCCAGTGCCGATCGTGCCGTGTGGAAATGGACCCTAATAATATAACATGAGGTGATCCACTGGTTGCGCCCTTGGGCGCCCTTGTTTCTTCTCTTCTCCCTTCATCTTGCCTTCACGTCCCTCATTGATATACCCCGACCAACTTGATGATTTTTTCTTTCTCTCACATAGCTTTGGCCCTTAGCCTAGTTTTCCAAGTAAATGCTGTCGATATTCAGAAAGTTGGCCGCTACCTCTACAGCGCCGATGGCACACGCTGGTATATGAAGGGCATGCCTACCAACAGCAGGGTAAGTCCTATCTTCATTCAGATTTTATACAGCAGCATGTAATACTCTAGTCAGGCAAGGAGGCTGCGGGTGCCAATGCTCCCTTCGCGGAACCAACTTCGTTTACCGATCCTCTGACCGACGGAGCTGCATGCCAACGCGATGCACCAATCCTACAGGCGCTTCAATCAACTCCATCCGTGTCTACAGCGTGGATTCCACAAAGAACCACGACACCTGCATGACAGCATTTAACAACGCGGGTATCTATGTCATGTATGTGATCATATTGAGTTCCCACTGCCAGTTACCTGCAATTTGACTCACATCCTTGAATAGCATGGATTTGGGTCTTCCCGTTAACGGCTCTATCAACCGGGTTGCCCCGCGTGGTCGACGAACCTACTTGATGAGTACATCAAGACAATCGACGCCTTTTCCAAATATAACAACTTATTGGCTGTCAATATCGGGAACGAGGTTATTACTACCCCTCAAACAACCAGTACTGCGCCATTTGTCAAGGCTGCGGCCCGTGATATCAAAGCCTATCTGTCTGTACACTGTCTCATCGTCCCAGGCTATGATACTTACGCCACATGTTCTTCTCAGGGTTTCGAAGAAGCTGAATACCCTCGTCGGTTATGCCGCCATCGATGGCGATGACACATGGATAGTCCCACTTGCAGAATTTCTATCCTGTGATCCGTCTGGTACCAATTCAGGCAGTACCGCAATCGATCTCTATGGTCTCAACAACTAGTGAGTGCCCAGTATATCATTGGCGCCAGCCATCTCACCTAACTGTGCTAGCGAGTGGTGTGGCACCTCGACGTTTGCTGCTAGTTATGGTGCCAAGACAACCGATTTCGCGAATTACAATGTTGTTGCGTACTTCAGTGAATACGGGTGCAATAATCCGGAGCCCCGCCAATGGCAGGAGGTTGCTGCACTCTTTGGTGCTCAAGCTGCTCCCGTCTGGTCTGGTGGTTTTGCCTTTTCGTACTTCCCCGCGACAAGCGATTCAGGCAATTTTGGCATGGTCACGGTCAATGCGGACGGAACGGTCACTCCAGGCGCTGACTTCACCAACTTGAAGACTGCGTATAGTCAGGTGCAATTCGTTAATGTTCCTACGCAAGCCAATGCTCCGGCTGCTGCATTCCCGGCATGCCCCCAAGTCGACGCCAATTTCCTTGCTACAACCAAATTGCCTCCGACTCCTAGCGACTCCGCTTGTCAATGCATGGAGAAAACCTTAGCTGTCAATTCCATCCACAGACAGCGGATACAACCGCCATCCTGGGCCCGCTTATCGACGGAGCGTGCGCTCTTCTCGGCGGCAAGGGAGGAAATTGTAATGGCATTACTGGTAACGGTCAGACTGGAACTTACGGTTTGGCAGCTCAGTGTGATCCTGGTAAGCTATTTTTTGGTGTTGCTTTTCTGCCCGTTGACACATTCCATGTTCCGATAGCCATCCAAGCCTCCTTCGCGATGACCGAGTGGTACGAAGCAAACGGTCACAACGCTGTGGCATGCAGTTTCGCCGGTAATGGCACCGTAAATTCCAAAGCTTCTACATCATCATCTGCAGCCCAAGTCGCGAGTGCTTGCCTTTCGACGGCTACAGGCACATTCGTGCCCACCTTACCGACTGCAGGTAGCTCTAGTGGTGGCTCGCCAGGTTCGAGTTCCACCACTGGGAGCGGTAACCCGAGCAGCTCCAAGTCAGCAGCAACGACAACCCTTCTTGTTGGCGACGCACGCTCTTTACTGGGAGTTTTCCTGATGCTCACAGTCAGCGTTGCCGGTGGGTTATTGTCGTTGGTCTAATCACTATAGTGTGTCGTAACATCGAGGACTATTTCTGGACACATGGACATTGACAAAATTTTTTTACTATCTGTTAAGGCCTCTCTTCGAGGCGGGACTGCGATTTGCCTAAAGACTTTTTTTTGGATTTGTCCATACATTTTTTCCGTATTCCGTACTCTAGCGTAATGTGGCGTTGCTTTTATCGGAGATTGAAAATGAGTTTGAATACGCCTGAGTGGGTGGGTAACAACGCTCGAACCAAGGTATCTCTTTTTCCCATCCGTTCGCTATGGCCGCCTCTCCTGTTCCAATCGACCGTGGTGAAACGCAAGTACGTGAAAAGTGGTCGGGAAAAGAAGACAGAACTGGGGACTCTCTGGCCCATGGCGCAGACCTTCCTCCTTCGAACGGTGGTCCCCCCGATGAACGTGGAACATCGGAAGCTGTCAACGCGGAGTATCACGCTCGCAGCCCTGGTGGAGGTGACGCTGGCCCTGGTACCAGGTCTAGTGGGGCGACGATCTACAGGGAAAAACAGATCAAGGTGCTTAGGTCTTCTCTTGTCCGTTTTGCCAGCGCCACGTATGCGTTCCTGCCTGGGCAAAAAAAGCATGAGCAGTCTCATTAGTCGTGATTCCATGCTACTTATGGCTGGCTTTCCGAAGACTAGCTACCCATGGCTACGTTCACACACTGCGCTTCTGCTCCATGTTTGCTCTTTTCAGCGTTCTGGACTGGTGTTCACTTTATGTGCCTGCAGCCAAATAAGGTTTATATCGGTGGTCTACCAGAAAATACTCGTCAAGAGGACCTTCAAAGCTGTTTCGGCAAAATAGGGAATATCATCAACATCGAATTGAAGTACGTCTCCCCCATGTTGTATGCCTTCCCAACCTGATTCACGTCTTGCAGAGTGGGATATGGTTTCGTGGTTGGTGTCTTTGATGGGTTTTGGGGATTGCCTTGTCTCAGTCTTCTTAGGAATTTGACAGTCGAGAAGCGGCAGAGGAGAGCGTCGCTAAATATAATGAAGGCTTCTTTATGGGCAACAAAATCCGCGTGGAAATATCTCGCGGCGGAGGACGTTTCGCAAAATTCAGTGGGGATCCAGGTGCATGCTTCAAGTGCGGCCAGATGGGCCACTGGGCTAGGTGAGTCTAAACTGTCTGATTCCTTACCTCGCGGTCAGTTGAGTAGAACCTTCCAGAGAATGCCCAAATCATGTTGTACAGTCAGTGTTACCTACACTTCTGCCACGTACCCTCCATGCTTAGTTATCTAGCACTTCTAGACGCCACAGCCCCCCTGGCGACGGTTCTTTGATTGACCGAATTCACCCACCCCGTGATTATGCAGCGCCGCCTCCGCACACCCGCGAGTTCCCGCCTTATCGTGAAGAGTACCCTCCTCGAGGCTACCCGCCACCTCCCCGTGACGCTCGCTACCCATACGACTATCCTCCACCTAGAAGACCTATCTCTCCCCCACGAGACTATCGCGATTACCCCCCGCCCCCAGTTCGCAGGGGCGATGTGGATGATTACCGGATGCGTGGGCCTCCGCCTCCGCCTCCCCGTTACGAGTCTCGCTCTGGATACTACAGTTCTGAGGACCCGGCTGCATATTCTCGCGGCTATCCTCCTCCAGCGTCTAGAGATTACGACCGATACGATAGGCGGCCCCCTCCTTCCAATGAAAGATACGGTGGTTACCCTCCTCCACCCCCTGCTGTGAGACCTAGGACACCACCCGGAGGCGGTGCCCAACCTCGCAGGGAAGAATTCGAAAGACCTCCTACCCGGTCTGTGTCACTACATCCTCCCCAATGGTGTTCGGCTGACACATTATCTCCAGAGACTATGCCCCACCGGCTGAATATCGACGTCCTGTAACACCACCGTCCGCACGGTACGCTGACTACCCTGCTCGTTCCGGTGCCGAGGCACGTGCGAGGTCTGTGGTTTTATGGCTACTTCTGTCTGTGGCAAAGCTAAACTGCAATTAGACGTCGTTCTCAAAGCCCTCCCACTAGGACTGGTACTGGCACTTACGAGGCTTATCCTGCTGCTCCAGGCTATGCTGGGCCTCCTCCGGCTCCACCTAAGGGCGCTGCTCGCGATTATCCCCCAAGGGGCGGGCTTGATCAAAATGCGGGTTATAGGAGGCAGTAGGCATGTGCGAAACTGGGCGTTGTGTCCGTCTCTTGCGCGAATGCTTATATCTTGGCAGTCAACGTCTGTTCTGTCTTGATCATTGCGGTGCTGGTTTATCTTTTGCGTAGCTTGGTTGCGTTCTCTCCTTGTAGTGCTTGCTGCCCGATGATTTATGTCTTGCGATATTTGCTTTGCCGTTTCTCATGCTCCTTGTGATCACTTGTTTCACTTGCTTCGCACAGAAACTAGTAACCTATTTAGCAAAGCGCTGATGTGAATGTGACGTTAATGTGCCAAGGATTCTTGTTGTGCTCAGGTAATCTACATCATGCAGCCACTGGCGACCGATGTGTCTGTCTCAACCATGGCGCTATCCCGCATGTTCTCATACCAAGTCTGACAGTGGAACGATCAGCGGACCTCGTCTTGACTCGCTCCTGGGGGGCTTGTCGGACGTATGGTATGGGACAATTTATGCCGATTAGAATTTGAGATGAGAGTTATATTGCTTGAACACCTACTGTATGACATGCAACCGAAGTCATTGCAATGCAGCTGAGAATTGAATAAAATAAAAGAGAAGTTTAGTGTCGTAGTAGTTTGCTCATGTGTGTGATATATATATATCTCAGA